GGGTTGGGGAGAGTGAGCTGAAGTGTTGAGGACAAACTAGATGAAGGACGTAAGTATCCAGATATCAAGACCCTCCCTCCAAACAGCTGTGTTTCAGTCACTGTCCCGACTGGTGTTTCCAAGAGGTGGGTCAGGGGTTACTGGTCAAATCTGTCACAATGTACAAAGTCCAGAGGCTAAAACAGCACCAAGACATGGATCACTGGTGACTCTATAAATAAATTATTTATGGTCTGGTACGATTTCAGGAAAGCAATCTTTCACAGGAGAACTGTTTCACTCTTTTAACATTACTCCTTCCTTACGTATTTGTTCTTCATTCTTTTTTTCAATTTTTTTTTTTTGTTTTGATTTTGGACAAAATATTTCTTGAGCACACCTGCAACCGATACTACAGATTTTAGGAATAATATTAGAAATATAAATAATAATAAGAAGAAGAATAATAAAAGATTATTTTAAATCAGTTAATTTTAGAAAGAAACTGAAAGAATTTCAAAAGTTTGGGCTCAGTACATTTTAACCTCTCGCCGTCGATATGGATCACAGGGCATGTCTTCTGAGACTGATCTCGTTATTCATGTGTCGAATTAGAGCGACGCCAAGCATGCTGTGCGGAACAACAGGGTGGGGTCAACCTAATCTACATATCAAAGCAATTCTATGTCTTCCTCTTTGTGTCGGAAGGTGTGAAGGGGGCAAGAAAGGCAGATTTAGGGAAGGGTATTAGTGTGTGGGTGTGAGGCGTAATGTACGATCAGCATTTATTAGGTATTGATTTGAGTTGAATCCTTCAGTGGATTTGTGTTCTATAATATTAGAATGGCTTTGTTAGGAGACATGGGCGTGGAGGTTAGTTGTCTAAGGAGGTGGGACTTTGAATGCACGCCCGTATGTGCCACGAGATTCTTTCATTGTTGATTGTTTATCAGTGTGTGGGAGTCATGTGTCTTCTTTTGTGTTGTAACGCGTGTGTGCTATGTGGGTGTATTTATCTTTGTGGGGGCTCGAGTGCAGTCGAGATGTACCGAAATCTATTTATGAGATGGAAGATAAAGGTTGTGCTAGGATATATTGTTCTTTGTGTGCTGCTTCTGAGTCCTGTGCCTTACCCCTCTTCCTCCAACTCCTGCCTTTGTTTGACCCTCCCCTCATTTTTCCTATCTATCTATCTATCTATCTATCTATCTATCTATCTATCTATCTATCTATCTATCTATCTATCTATCTATCTATCAGTCTTTCTGTCTGTCTGTCTGTTTGTATGAATGTCTGTCTGTCTATCTATTTATCTATGCCTTTTTCCCCTCTACTTACTCTCTCACACACTCTTACTCCCCCCTCCCCTGCCTCTCTCTCTCTCTCTCTCTCTCTCTCTCTCTCTCTCTCTCTTTCGCTCGTTCGCTCGCTCTCTCCTGCAGTCTCTCTCTTTCCTCCTCTCCCTCACTCTGTCTGTCTGTCTGTCTGTCTGTCTGTCTGTCTGTCTGTCTGTCTGTCTGTCT